AGGGCTAGCCCAAAAGATAACTTTCCTTTGCTTCACATTAACACACTGATAGATAACATGGCTAGACATTCAATTTTCTCCTTTATGGATGATTTCTCAGGGTATAATTAGATAAAAATGGCTGCAGATGATATGAAAAAGACTACTTTCGTGACTATATAGGAAACTTTTTGTTACAAAGTCATACCTTTTGGGTTAAAGAATGCTGGGGCAACATACCAAAGGGCCATGATGACACTTTTCCATGACATGATGCATAAAAAGATTGAAGTGTATGTAGACGATATGATTGTAAAATCTTGAGAAGGCGAAGATCATGTCACCAATTTCAAAAAGCTATTTGAAAGGTTGAGAAGATTTTAGCTCAAGTTAAACCCAACCAAGTGCACATTTGGGGTAAAGTTAGAGAAGTTACTAGGCTTTATGGTCAGTGAAAGAGGGATTGAAGTCGATCCAGACAAGATACGGGTCATTTAAAATTTATCATCTCCGAGTACACCAAAGAAAGTTCAAAGTTTTCTGGGAAGATTGAATTACATTCTCAATTCATCTCTTAACTTACCTACAAATGTGATCCCATATTTAAGCTTCTACACAAGAATAATTCTGGAGAATAGAATGAGGAATGTCAAGTGGCTTTTGATAAAATTAAACAATACTTGTCAAATCCTTCAGTGTTGGTGTCACCTGTTCAAGAGAAACCCTTAATTCTATACTTGACAGTGTGTGAGAATTCAATGAGATGTGTACTGGGGTAGCAAGATGAGTCTAGTCGAAAGGAGAGAGTTATTTACTATCTAAGTAAAAAGTTCACAGATTATGAATCTAAGTATTTCTCATTGGAGAAAATGTGTTGTGCATTAGCGTGGACTGTCAAAAGACTCAGACTGTATATGCTCTATCATATCACATGGCCCATAGTAAAACTGGATCCAATTAAATACATCTTCGAGAAACCTTCTTTGTCTAAAAAAATTGCTAGATGGCAAGTAATGCTCTCGAAATATGATATTATATATGTGAGCTAAAAAGCAGTAGAAAAAGTGCTATAGCTAAGTTTCTTACAAATCGTGCTACTGAAGAATATGAACCAATGAGATTGGAATTCTCTGATGAAGATCTAATGATTATTTTCCAATTAGAGAATGGGAAGCATGAAGAAAAGTATTGGAAAATGTATTTTGATAGAGCTGCCAATGCCTTGGGACATTGAATTGGGGTAATTCTGATCTCTCCAAAAAATAATACTATCATGTAATAGCAAGGTTAAATTTTAATTGCATAAATAACATCGTTGAATATAAAGCATGTGTCATAGGTTTACAAGTTGCTATAGATAGAAGAGTGAAAGCATTAAAGGTGTTTGAAGACTCAACTTTAGTTATATATCAATTGCAAGGAGAATGGGAGACGAGAGATTCAAAACTCATTCTACATCATAAGTATATTTTAAAATTGATAAAGCAGTTTGAAGATATTCAGTTTGACCATTTACCTCGAGAAAAGAATATGAATGTCGATGCCTTGACTACTCTGGTTGCAATGATTCGAATTAATGATAATACTAACATTTAGCCCATCAGGCTAGATGTTAAGGATATGTCAGCTCATTGCTCCAATATAGAAGAAGAAGAAGATGGGAAGCCCTAGTATTATGACATCTTACAGTATATTAAAGATCAATAATACCAATTCAAGCAACAGAGAACGATAAAAGGGTCATCCGAAGATTAGCTATGAGTTTTTTCCTAGATAGAGATGTTCTGTACAAAAAAAATTGTGATAAAGTATTATTGAGATGCGTAAATAAGACTGAAGTAAAAAAAATCATTAAAGATGTGCATGATGAAATATATGGGGTACATGCCAATAGACATATGATAATGAGATAGATCATGAGAGCAGGATAATACTGGTTGATAATGAAAAGTGATTGCATTGACTATGCTCGTAAATGCCATAAATATCAAATATATGCTGATAAGATCCATGTTCTATCATCTACTTTACATATTTTGGCACCAACTTGGCCATTCTCAATGTGGGCATGGATGTCATTAGTCTTATCACCCCAAAGGCTTCTAATGGGCATGGGTTTATTAGTGTGATGATAGATTACTTCACAAAATGGGTGAAGACAGCATCATATGCAAATGTAACATGATATGTGGTTTGCAAGTTCATAAAGAGAGAGATCATCTATAGATATAGACTTTCGAAGAGAATTATTTCAGACAATGCTAAGAATTTAAATAGTAAGATGATGCAAGAAATATGTGCTCAATACAAGATCAAGCATCATAACTCAGTACCATACCATCCAAAAATGAATGGGGCAGTTGAAACAGCTAACAAAAATATCAAAAGAATTCTTAAAAAGATGATTGAGCTTATAAAGATTGGCATGAGAAGTTACCATTTATACTGCATGCATATCAAACATCAATGTACACCTCTCCTGGGGTAACCTCATTTTCTTTGGTTTATGGGATGAAAGCTGTACTATCAGTGAAAGTGAAGATCTTATCCTTGAGGGTTCTAAAAGAAGTTGAATTGGAAGAAGCTGAATGGATTCGAGAACGTTATGAACGATTAAATTTCATAGAAGAAAAGAGATTGACTGTATTGTGCCATGGTCAGCTATATCAAAGAAGAATGATGAGGGCTCATGACAAAAAAGTTTGATCCCATTGCTTTCGAGAAGGAGAGTTGGTTTTGAAGAGAATCCTTTCAACCCAACACGATAATAGAAGAAAATGGACTCTGAATTGGGAAGGGCTGTATGTGATGAAACAGACTTTTTTGGGTAAAACACTGATACTGACTGAGATGGATGGAAATGATTTACCCCATCTTATAAATTCTAATGTTGTGAAGAAATACTATGCTTAAAAAAAGGCAAAAAAAAGAGAAAAGGAAAAAAAGAATAAAAAAGGAAGACTCAATGTGAAAACCCTAAAAGGACGATTTGAGTCATAAGGGGTTTATCTAAGTTGAAAACCTGAAAAGGCAGCTTAGATAAGGAGAATACAACAAATAGATGATCAGTGAATTTTATGTGGGTATCTTCACCTCTGAAACTCAAGAAAACATCATATTTCTGTCGAGAAGTAAAAAAAGATGGCAACAATGACATGAGGAGGTGGAAGAGGAATATATCTCAAGCTGGTGTTTGAGTAGTTCCTTTTGCTTCTATTTATCAGAAACTAAAAACACTGTCAAGTTTGAGCATGAAGCTTAAACTTGCATGAAGTAAACGCTAGACAACGACTAAAAGAGTCTAGTTTCCCTGGGAAATAGGAAAAACAAACATTTTTCAACAATTTCCTTTGACCTTCTTACTATGGGAATGCTTGAAAAAGCTCTAATTACATTAATTCCAAACTCTTTTTAAACAAATCTCCGCCTAGTGATGGTGTTTTGGGTCAAAGATCTATTATGATGTTCTTTCCAGGAGGAATCCACTAGGAAAGAATGGTAAACTACTATGGGTAAAAATTGATTAAGTGATGACTAAGAGAGACAACTTCTTTTCTGTTTCCAAATATTGTTGTTAAAACAATCAAATTTTTTAGCTAAAACCATTTTTCTTGGCACACGTTTCACATGATTTCAATTTCTTATTGGTTATGTTTTAATTTTGAGTAGTCATTAGATTATTACCTATGATTTTTCACTTTAATTTTGAGGACCAATTAGGTGATTACCTATGATTTTTTTTTTCATTTTATTATATAATATATTTAATAAATATAAGAGACGAGTAAGAAATAAAAAGAAAAAAATATGATTTAACTTTATTTTTAGAGTTATTAAAATCAATAATTAAAAAAAAAAATGTAAATTTGTTTTTTATGTAAGTTGATCCCTCCTTGTTATATACTATATATAACATATAATTATATATAAATATAAAAATTATATTTATTATATAATTTGAATCAGGCTAGGTTTTAAATGTTAGAGTCAAAGTCCCAAATGCGTCTTTTTTTTTTGTTCAACCCTCCAAATAGCAAATGAGTCTTAAAGTTTGAACGGATACCTTTGAACATATATAATTCCAACTTTGTAAAAGAACTACAATAAAAAAATGAAAGGATGTAACATAAGGAAAAATGTAAATAATATATATGATCTAGCAATCATGGTTCAATGTATATGTATGTTTTTGTACATACATTGATACATATACATATATACATTGATACATGTATACATATATATATGTATACATGTAATAATAATACATATATACATTGATATACATGTAATAATCATGATCTAACATATATATGTATATATGTAATAATAATAATAATACATATATACATGTAATAATCATGATCTAACATAAGTAATAATACATATACATATATACATTGATACATGTATATGTATGTTTTTGTACCCTTTAATGTCGATGACCATGCCTTTAATTGCTTCTGTAGCCTAAAAATAAAAAAAGTGAAAGATAAGAAGACACAAAATGCATGGTGTAATAAAATTAATAGCTAATTTATAAGAGGAATGAACTAAAACGGGACATAATACTAAAGATTTTAAATGGTTAGGTTAACTCTCAATAAAGCTTAATTAACATTAAAAGAAATTAGTTTGGTTTTATTTAAATTAACACGAGAGATTTAAATAGAAAAATCCATAATTTTACTATAAAATTATAATGCAAATGAGGTTTTGTCTCAAGTCGCATGTATCATTATATGTGAGTTTTGATCCAGTTTCATTATCTATTTATTTGAATTTTATATGAAATAAAATACTTAATTATGATTTTAACTTCATACAAAAAACTATAAAACTACAATAAAATATGCATTTAAATAGTCTTAATTAATTTATTCTGGCCAAAAAAAGTAGTGTTATTTTATAATAAATAAACAATAGTAATCTTTTTCTTTCGTATATTCAAGAATACTCATTCGTAATCCCAAAATTTTGGTTGTATATATCCTAATTACAGAATCTTAATGTCATGAGAGTAAAATATATACCTACTTAATAATTTTTCGTGATAGTCAATTTATTATTTTGGGTAGAGTCGAGATTCAAAATAAACAAATAAATGCGTAATATTTAAGAAATGACTTACTGTATTTTCCGTTAGCACGTGATAAATATCGTTTGTCTCCCACAATCTACATTGTTTTCCAGGTTCACCAAGAGATTTTTTTCTAACAATTGCTCTTCCCATCTCTTGTAGCAAGTCATGCTTCTACAAATATTTGTTGTCTTTATCAATTTTTATCAGGGACTTATCAATGAGATCATCTATTCCAATACCCGCTGAAAACTCACAACCATCTAGTACTCTTGTTACAAAATCTTTCTTTTCCCAGTTGAAGAAGCATGCTATATCTAGAAAAATATTCTTCTGTGTCTCTGATAATCCATCAAAGCTTATTTGAAGCCTCTCATGAATATCTTTGTGAAGTTCATTTTTAAGTCTTTCAATTGCACTTCTCCATTGGGAAGCATCTTTATTCCACAACATGGATCCCAAAACTTCAAGAGCTAAGGGAAGACCACCAGCATATCCCACAACACATTTAGAAAGCTCAATGAAATCTTTTCTTGGCACTGCATCACTCTTGAAAGCATTCAATTTGAAAAGATAAAGTGCTTCATGAAAATCCAATGTTGTAAGCTGATACACATCATCTACCCCGTGAAATCGTAGCAAATGTTCATCTCTGGATGTTATGATGATTCGGCTCCCTAAACCGAACCAATCACGCCTTCCAACCAAGCATTTTAAGTGTTGCAGGTTATCGACATTATCAATAACAACAAGAATCTTCTTGTGCGATAGCTGACGACTAAGGATTCCATTCCCTACTTGAACATCTGAAAATCTGAAATCTTCTTTCAAAATCTCATAAAGAAATTGTTTCTGTAAATGAACAAGTCCATATATCTCTGAATTAAGTCGAACATCACCAAGAAAGCTTTTACCTTCAAAATGAGGAGACATTTTATAAACAACTCTTGCAAGAGTCGTTTTACCAATACCGTCCGTACCACAAATTCCTATAATGCGGACATCATCTTCTTTTCCAATGTCTATTTTCAATTGCAACTCTTCCAAACGTGAATTGATTCCAACCAACCCATGAGGAACATCTGAATATGTTTGACATAATTTGGCTGATATCATTGTAACAATCTCTCCAATAAATTCTGATTCAGGCCTACAAACAAAAAGAGAAATAAACTTTAGGCGAAAAATGAGCCGACAAATTAAGAGTAAAACAAATAAAGGTACAATAATCCTTTATGAAAAAAATATAGGACGCCTTTAAAGCCTCAAATTTCTTGTTAGTAGCTTTAGTAATTGAAATTAAGTATTGCCAAATATCTATAAGGTTAGAAGAAATTATTTATGATTTTATTTTTCATAAATGGTTAATATATAAAGAACTATCAACCTAGTAAAAAAAATTCTTAATACATATTTTATATATCTTTTTTATTTTAAACAAAACGTGAAACATTGTGTTCACTTTTATTTAAGAAAAAATTTTATTCCGAGTTTGAAAAAACAAAGCAAGAATAAGAAGCAAGGCTATGTTACAACATCAAAAAACAGAAATTACCCTTTAGTTAAATGAAATTCTGCAATAAAACACAAGATTAAAGAAGTTTTTTTAAATCATATAACATGTAATGCAAAAAAGAAAAAAAAACCAAATTTGCTTTGATTAAAAACGAAAATTATACAAGAAAAGAACAAATTACCTGTTATTTAAATGCCATCCTTTGATATTAGCCACTTCAGTTAAAGCAGTTCGCCACCTTTGGATCTTGTCTTTAATTTCTGTGTATCTCTCTTCGTGTTTGGCAAAGGCTGCAGCAACTCTTCCTGTTTGTTTTCTCAAATCAGATGGATCCACTTCATAAAATATTGGAAAGATTTTATGTCCCCTCTTGTTTTTCTCTTGAACAATCTCGGCAAGTTCGTCCAAGCACCAACCTGAAAAAGCCATATGTTTCTGAGAAAACGATTAGTGAACACCATGATTCTTGAATTGCTTTCAAGAGTTCTGGTGCGATTTCTTCTCCAGCCTCAAGCCTTGGATCATCCCTGAAATTCTCGATTCCATTCCTTTTTAAAGCAGCATATAGATGATCAGTGAAGTTTTTGCGGGTATCTTCACCTCTAAAACTCAAGAAAACATCATATTTCTGTCGAGGAGAAGAAGAAGAAGAAGAAGAAGAAGAAGATGATGATGATGATGATGGCAACGACGACATAAGGAGGAGGTGGAAGAGAAAGATATCTTAATCTGGTGTTTGAGACAGTTCCTTCTGCTTCTATTTATCAATAAAACAGCCCAATACCCGCAATAACAGATTAATTTCAAAGGGAAGAAAAAAACATCTATCAAAAGTCAACGATTTTTCTTTACATATCCCAACTTTTTATTTTTCAAATGAATCTCTAGAATACATATGAAAACGCGTCGATTGCCGTACAGAAAGAATCTGCCGTAAGCTCTTTCCAGGAAGAATCCGAGAACGTGAGAACAGAGTAGGCTTTCGTGTTGACTATTTTTTAAGGAAGATAGCTATTGTCTATTGGCTATTGGGTTAAGTACTAAAGTTGACAGAGTTTTGACGGTTGGGTTTTGACGTTTTGTCCAAAGAATTGAAGAAATTTAGTAGCTGTGTACAGTATAATGTCAATTTTTTAACATTGTTGTTTTGCTTTCTTTTTAATTTATTGAAACTGAAATACCTAGGGGTTTCAAGGACATTATGGGGGGGGACTTCAGCAACATATGCTTGTAGTCAAACTTGGATGCAGCAAATTAATGGACAAAAAAAAAAGGTCTTGTAAAGCAAAACAGGAAAAAATTTGCTAAATAACCATGGATGATAGGATAGACATAGACCCACTCCAGCTTGCTGTAGGACCCGTGAATTCCTCAAATTTTGTTTGGCTACTCATTCTTGGAAGATGGGGTTTGCCCTTCTTGCTCGATGCTGGGGTCAAGGGTCACATTTTCCAATGTGATTAAGCCATTCATGACCCTTGATCACAAGTATATGAATCTCAGAAGGAAATGTTAACATGTAATGTGGGGATTAAGTCAATGTGAGATTTATACTTTCATATCTATAAATCTCATATATTTTTCTCTTTAGTATTTTTTTTTTAATTGTCTCATAAAAAAATCCATGCAAAACAAAGAGATATAATCGATTCATTTCTTCGAGCAGCTTGAAAATGTCAAAATTCTCAAATTTTGGATAAAGAATTTAAAGCAACGATTATAAGCATTCTTCTTTTTTAGTGGTTAACCTTGTTTCGATTATTATAGTATTGATTTTGGATGGGAAGGGCAATTGCAATTTGAATTGGGGCAGGGAACAAGCCTGATAGGACTATTAGAGTGTATAGTGAGGCACAAGAAGACAACATTTTTAAATTCTAATTAATGCTCACAAATTACTTATTTATGTTGCTACAAAAAAGTGGATATTTAGTAATTCTATTTTGCAAGGACTGAAAATATTGTTGCAAAATTTAGTTATATTTACTCATTGCTTAATTGAATTTTTAGATATTTTATATAATAATAAATTTTGTTGTTATAAACTCTCATTATATTTGTAACGATAAAAAAAAATTATTATGAAACTTTGTTTTATTTGTAATGATTTTTTAATATCATTACTTAATTTATTTTATTGAGTATTAAGGATGACTTAGTTGAGTAAACTATGGGAAAACATTAATTCCATGATATTGATCAAAAGGAGAAATTTCAATTAAAATCATTTACGATAAAAAAAAACTTTTAATTTTCCTTTAGAACATGCCAATAAGAATAGAACAAGTTACCATAAAAAATACAATAAAATATTAAGTGATGGGCTGTAATTAAGGCCTTATTTAACTTTGCTTGTTAGTATACAATGAAAGCAGCCTTCCTAATCCTATAAATAGTAGTATTTAAAGTGAAAGCTCCAAAACTAAAGCAAGTAAAGAGCAAATAAAATTAATTTTAAAATAATTTATTTATTTGAAAATTATAAATAAAATTTAGTTTAAATTGTATAGGTCTCGTACTTCCTTCGTAGTACAACAGTTTTGAAGGGATAATGCCCTCAAAATTATATGCGCACATAAAAATTAAAATTGAAATTAAATCATTCTATTAATCTATGATCTAATAATTATTGTAAAATCAAGTGAAAGAAATTAAAGAATAAACTAAATAAAATAATTTAACAAACCAATATAAAATTGGAGGAAACTTATATTATACATTGGATTGAACTTGTATAATCTAAAGATTTTATAAGAGATTTTTTTGTACTCTATTTGGTCGTTCTTCCATGTTAATGAAATGGGTGGGAATCATCCGATAATGGAAGGAAAGTCATATTCTATTGACAGCAAGCCCAGCAACTAGTATAAACAATCTTTTGGTCTTGGGTGGTTCACCTCGGTTTGATTATTATAGCATTGATTTTGGATGGGAAAGGCCAACTGCAATTCGAAGTGGGGGTGGGAACAAGCATGATGGGAAGATAACAGTATATGGTGGAGCTGAAGAAGGGAGTAAGGACATTGAAGCTTTCTTTTTACCTCAAACATTGCAGGCCTTGGCAAATGATGAAGAGTTCATGAATTCTGTCACAATTTAATCTTAATCCAACTTCTACATTGTTCAATGGGTGAAATAACAGCCATCAATAAGAAGTTTTAATAAGACTTACTGGTATTTAGTAGCCATTAGTGAAACTTGGTTTATCCGTGTTAAGCTGCCTAAAAGGAAAATAGGAATAACAACTTAAAGTTTAACTTAGTTCATTCAATTAATTAGTTACTTTTAAGAGGTAATATCCTATAAATCTGAATTTTAAATTTCTACATTTATAACTACTTTTTTTTTTTTATCTCTAAGCAACAACATCCTTTGTAAAAAAAAATTAAAGAATAAATTGTTTGAGCTTGAATAGAAATCTAGACTTGAGTGGTTTATATTTAAATGATATTTTAATATCTATTGTTGTGTTTATTAATTTATACCTTTCTTCTACTTTATCTCATGTTTTCTTTATTAGCAAGTAGCACAATTTATAAATCCTTTGCATACTTGATTTTTGGGAAATTAAATTCTATATAATCCTTGGGGAAAAAAAAAAACATTACATATGACCTTGGTTTTTAAAATACCAAATCAAAAAGCAAGATTCAAATCTTCTTTCTCCAAATTTTTTAAAAAAATGGTGTGAAACACTCTTTAAAGCAAAGATAAGATGATTATGCTTCAAACGACATCAAAGGATTCCACCTTCTCACATTTCTTGCTTTTTTATGGAATTTATCCCAACTATTTTATTTCATCTGATAATTATTATCCTTCAACCTAAAGAAAAAACACATAGATATAATACACATTAGATTCATAAGAAATTATAGAAAACAGTGCAATCCTCTTTTTTTATTGAATAGCATGCAAATAAACGATGAAAGGATTCATTCAAGTCTAGTGATTAGTATTTAGAAGTTTACCAGAATATTTCTTCCCCATTCTAATGTCTAAAATTTTTTTCCAAGCGTTTGCGGTGTGGTCTCTCTTCAGTGCTATCACTCTCATCACTTGGTCCTGCTGCCTCCTCGTAGACGTTACGTTTTCGTTTTACAAGGACACCATCATTCCCTGTTGGCCCTTCATCACCACCATTGTCTCGATGGATATCGTCAAGATTTGCACAATTTGTTGGAATACTGTGTTGGTTTTGTATTTCTTCCATTTTCCAAATCTTTCCCATACAATATTCGAACACCACACTTTTCCACTTTGGCAGATGAGACACCAGGAGGAGATTGGATTGAGAACTCAATTTCATTGCATTCTTGATTTGCCCAATCTGTGCTCAACGAATTCTCAATTTTACCACATTTTCCCTCCAACTCAAATGGAAATATATTGTCACAAGAATAATAACGTAGCCAAAGGTGCTCCTTAATGACGCCAGGCCGCCTAAATTTTCCTCCCAAAAGAAAGCCACTCCAATCGACTCGTTGAATATTCCTACCGTGGATAACTGCTTTACACATTATTTTATCCTCCCTATAAACATCGTCGGCAATGAAGGGAAAGACGAAAATGCAGCAGAAAGCAACTCCCATCCACTGACTATCATTCCGAATATAGGAGGCAGTGGTATCTTTATTGAAGATTCATCCCTCTGATGGGGGAACTATTCTGGGATTTCACTTCCAGGTATAACAATGTCGAATAATCGTCTTGCTTTAGCAAATACCTGTAAACAAAATCTTTTGTTATTTGGCAACTAATACAATAAATCCTAGAGAGTGAGATTCAGAGAGAGAGAGAGAGCGGTGCCAACCTTACGATGTTTTTTTTGGCATTGTTAATGCATTGTTTTTCTCAGCCAATTTGTATCAGTTAAAATCGGTAATAGATCCCCACTTTGTTGAATTGCATACTGTTGTTGGATCTGCAACTATTTCCAGTGAAGCACAACCATCTATGATCACATGTCCTATACTTCTTAGGAGCTCTGCAACGATTTAAGCTCCCTGCAATCTGATAATCGAAGACAATCAAGCTTGGAAAGTCGAATATATTGGAAAGTTGAAATGTCTTAAAACTCTTAATCTCTCTTGCTGTTCTAAAGGCAAACATCAAATGAAGTAATTCTTACTCTGTTTCCCTTCCATATTTGTTCAATGGGGCTATAAGGTAGGAGAAGTGCAACAAGATTGTCTGATTGGAAGCTTGAAGGCAAGTATCTTAAAGGATATCTGCTCCATTCTAAAAGCCGTAACTCATTTGAAAGATATTTGAGGTCTTGAGAGTTTAGGAGATGGAAGACTTTGAGCAATCTTAATTTTTTCATCTTCAAGAAGGCATCAGCGTTCAAAGTGAACGTCTTGTTCTGTTCCCTGAAAACCAAGGGTAAGACAAAACTGAGCTTCAAAATATTAAAGCTTTCAACTCATACAGAAGGCAAGAATCAACATTCACACCTATCTATCATTTTTTTCTTCTTTCTGAAACACAACTCTTTTAGTTAATACAATCAATTTTCCTGCCACATGATTTCAATTTCTTATTGGTTATGTTTTACTTTTGAGTAGTCATTAGGTGATTATCTATGACCTTTTACTTTAATTTTGACCAGTTTGATGTTCAAATCTAAAGAAAGAGAGGATGAGAGAAGATAATGGATAAGAATGTTGGTATTTCAAGTTCGACTAAAAAACTACAATAAAAAAGAAAAGAATGCAGCCTAGGACAAAATATCGATAATATATATGTTCTAGCAATAATAATTCAATTAAATGAGACAAGATCCAGTAATAATATATAATATAGGCATAGACACGTGTATGTTTGCTTTTGTACCCTTTGTTGTCGATGACCATGCCTTCAGTTGCGTTCGTAGCCTAAAAATCAAGAATAAAGCATAAGACGACGAAAAGTAAATGGTTTAAAAATATTAATAGCTAAATTATAAGAAGACGAAATAAAAGAGACCATAATATTTTCTTGAGTTAGATTTAATGGTCACGCTAATTCTCCACAAAGCTTTTAACTAAAAGAAATTTTGCTTTACTTAAACTAACAAGATAATTTTAAATAGAGAAAATCCATAATTTAGTTTTAAAACTATAATGCAAATGAAGCATTGTCTCAATAGTAAGAAAGATGCTTTTTTGAACTTTCATGTTTAAGTTTTATTATACATGAGTTTAATCCAATTTTATATTGGATTTTATATATGCAGGTTTATTTATTGGTCTAATTATCCATTTTTATTTGATTCTTATATGAAATTTAGTACTTAATTATGATTACAACTTTAATAAAAAAAACTATAAAACTATAATAAGACATACACTTAAGTAGTCTTACTTTTATTATTTGCAATTATTCAGCCTTATTCTTTCATATATTCAAGAATATTAGTATGCAATCTCAAAATTTTGATTTTATCTTAATTACAAAATCTTAATGCCATACTAGCAACTTACCTAGCTAATAATTTTTTTTGGTATATAATTTAGCATGTTGAGTAGAGTCAAAATTCTAAATAAATAAATATGCAATGTTTATGGAATAACTTACCATGTTTTTCATTAGCATGTGATAAACATCATTTTCCTCCCACAGTCGACAACGTTTTCCAAGTTCATCAGGTGATTTTTGTTGAACAATTTTTCTTCCTATCTCTTGTAGCAAATCATGCATCCACAAATATTTGTTGTTTTTATCAACTTTTATCAGAGATTTCTTGATGAGAACATCGATTCCAATATGTGGAAAAAAGTTACAACCATCCAGTACTTTTATTACAAAATCTTTCTCCTTCCCTTTGAAGAAGCATGCTATATCTAGAAAAATATTCTTCTCCGTTTCTTCTAATCATCAAAGCTTATTTGAAGTCTTTCAAAAATTTCTTTGTTATAATCTCTTTTAAGTCTTTTGATTGCATCTCTCTATTGAGCTGCATCTCTACCACACAAAAAAGAACCAAAAACTTCAAGAGCTAAAGGAAGACCATCAGCATATTTCACTACACGTTTAGAAAGCTCAATCAAATCATTTTCCGACATTGTTTCACTATCATAAGCTTTCAAATTGAAAAGATGAAGTGCTTCATTCTCATTCAGTGTTGTAGGCTTATACACATCATCCACTCTATAAGATTGGAGCAAATGTTCATCTCTTGTTATTACGATGATTCTACTCCCTAAACCGAACCACTCACGCTTCCAACCAAGCATTTTAGGTGTTGAATGTTATCAACTTCATCAATAACAACAAAAACCTTATTGTGAGATAGCCTGTGACTAATCATGGCATTCCCTTCATGAACACTGAATAAATTGAAACCTTCGTCCAACCAGAGTTGCGAAAGTTGTTTCTGTAAAGAAACGAGTCCACATTTTTCTGAAACTTCTCGAACATCAGCAAGCAAGCTTTTACTTTCAAAATGAAGTGACATTTGAGAATAAACAACTCTTGCAAGAGTAGTTTTACCAATGCCGCCCATGCCACAAATTCCAATAATGTCGGACATCTTTTTCACCAATGTCTATTTTCGAATGCAACTCTTCCAAACGTGAATTAATTCCAATTAACTCATCATGAACTATCGGATATGTTTGACATAATTTTGCTGATATCTTTTTAACAATGTTTCCAATAAATTCTGATTCATGTCTTCAAACACAGAAAGAGAAATTAAATTTAGTTTCTTCTTAAGAAATTAAATGCTAATGAAAATGATTATAATGATAAATGAGCCTAGAAATCAAAGAGTCAAAAAATAAAAGCACAATAATCTTTTATCAAATAAATTTAGGATACCTTTAAAGTAGACTTGGTCATAGATTGAGTTATAAGCTTGACCTGCAGTTCAAGTCTATCTCAAATCAAGCCTTGATCATGAATTTTTAAGTTTGAGTTTGACCCGAATCATTATTTAAGGAATAAGAATTATTTTTATTTAAATTTAATTTTAAAACATATAAAATATTATGATAAAGATGATTTTTTTCCAAACTCATGGATAGGTCTAGTTAAAAGCCCCTAGCCTATCGTTGTACTTATAGCCTTAGTAACTGAAATTATTACCAAATGTATTTTAAGTTTATAAGAAATTATTTATGATTTTATTTTTCGTAAATGGTTAATATATAAATTATAACTGGCAATCTCATCAAAAAGAAATTTCTTAATACATATTTTTTCTTTTTATTATTTCAAACAAAACATGAAACATGGTGGTCATTTTATTTTTAAGAGACAAGATTCTATTCCTAATACAGTTTGAGATGAAAAACAGAGCAGGAATAAGAATGAAGTCTATGTTTTTTAAATGAAATTCAACAATAAAACACAATATTAAAAATGTTTTTTAAAGTAGATAACATGTAATGCAAGAAAGAAAGAAAAATCAAATTTGTGGAGATTGAAAACGAAAACTAGACTGGAAAAGAATGAGTTACCTGTTTTTTAAATGCCATCCTTTGATATTAGCCACTTCAGTTAAAGCAATTCGCCACTTTTGGATCTTGTCATTAGTTTCCTTGTATGTCTCTTCATGTTTGGCAAAGGCTTCAGCAACTTTTTCCCGTTTGTTTTCCCAAATCAGATGGATCCACATCATAAAAAATTGGGAAAATTTTATGCCCCTCTTTTTTTTCTGTTCAACAATCTCAACAAGCTCTTCCAAGCAAAAACTTGGAAAAGCATATGTTTTTGAGAAAACGATTAGTGAACACCATGATTCTTGAATTGCTTCCAAGAGTTCTTGTAAGATTTCTTCCCTAGGCTCAAGCCTTGGATCATCCATGAAAGTGACTATTCCCTTCTTTATTAAAGCATCATGTAGATGATCAGTGATATTTGGGCAGGTATCTTCACCTCTAAAACTCAAGAAAACATCATATTTATGTGAAGAAGAAGAAGAAAAGGAAGAAGAAGAAGGAGGATGAGAAGAGGAAGATGGTAACGATAACATGAGGATGAGGCGGAAGGGGAAGATATCTCAAGTTGGTGTTTGAGACAGTTCCTTTTACCTCTATTTATGAAGAAGTATTTTAGATCACAGATATGCTAAGAAGTTCTTTCCAGGAAGAATCGAGGAAAATAAGTGGAGTTTACTACTGTTTATGAAGAAGTAGACAGTGCTGTGACCAACAAAGTCTTCTCTAAAGAAAAAGAAAAAGACTTAAGCAACACATTTTTACAGTAATTCATAATGATTTCAAAGGACATTAGAACTTCAGCAGCACGACTTGGGATGGTCGAGTACCATGTTAGGTGAACCCAAGAAAAAGAAAAAGACAAGTGCTTGCTTCAAAATACTTCAGAAATTTCTTGATTGTAACGAGGTTGAAACATGCTTCAAGATATTCAAAACATTGAAACTGCCATTGCTTTATAATTTTTTTCTTCTTTTGGTTGGGATAATTTATATTTGTTTATTACGAGCGGAATTCATTAGCTTTTTTTTTTTATTATCTTTTCAAAAAGTTTGAGATCCTTTTTTTTGAAAGTGAGATCCATACATTAATCTTTTAATCTTTTTAAATTTTTATAGGACTCATATTTTTTATTTTTTATTTTTTAAAAATTTTTTAAAAAGTGTGAAGCTATTTTTTTTAATAAATTTTTTGTGTGGGACTCACATTTTTTTTATTTTTTTATTTTATAATTTTGAAAAGAAATCAATATATTTTTAAAAGATTTTTGCTTTTTGTGAGACCTATTTATTCTTTTTTTTTCTATTTCTTCCTTTTTTAATTTTTTTAAAAATTAAAATTTTTTTGTTTTAATATTTTTTTAAACTCACTTGTTATTAAGAGTACTACACTATATCTTTTTCTTTTTTCTTTTTATTATTTTATGTAATTGATAAATCATTTTTTATCTATATATTTTTATGAGACTTGATTCATATAAAGGGTATACAACATATCAAGTCATTTGATTTTTTTTTCATTTTTTTATTTTTTGTTAACTTTATATATTTAATAAATATTTTTTAATATGGACTCATCAATTATTATTAAAAATATATGTTTTTATCCTTTCTAATTTTTTCTTTTTCTTTGGTTTGATAATTAAAAAAAAAATTATACTAGGGGATGTGTTGGCATCACATCTGAATTTTTTTTTCCTTTTTTGGTCCTTTCTCTATTTTTTTTTTTTTTTTTTTTTTAATTCATTATATAAAGTTTTTGATAAAAGTTCGTCATTGTTGATGTCAACTAGAAACTTAATTTTCTTCCTTTTTTTTCTTTTTTTAAAGTTTTTTTCTTCTTTTTTTTTTTAAATCAGATCTTGTGTATTGAAAACAATGAATGCATATACATGATGTCTAATTTCTTTTTTTTTTTGTTTTTAATTTTTTTAATTAGAAACATTTCTCAGCAAAAGAAAATGGTAAAAAATTCTTTAGAAAATGTCAATATAGGTATATATAAGAAAACACTTGTATTTGATAAATTTCAGTTTGTTTGGATTTAATAGATATATTTTTTGAAAAAAATTGAGATTGAATCGAATTTTTTTTTTCAAAATTCAAATCAAGGCAAATACTAGTTTATAGTGTTTCATCTTGTTCAAATATATATAAATATATGTTTTATTATTTCATTTAATTATATATTTATATTTATATATTAATAAAATTATTATTTAATGCCTCAAGTTAATGATCCACATGTCATTCAATTTATCTTTTT